AGTACAGAAAAATATAGGGGTTTTTTAGAGGTGTAAATCATTTTTATATTGGAAGAACTTAGGACAATATTAGCCATGTCTTTTTTGTATTGATTAAATGTTTTAAAATATTTAGCCCAGCATCTGGCACTTTTTTTTTTTTTTTTTTTTTTTTTTTTTTTTTTTTTTTTGGAACCGGGGATTGAACTCAGGCCCTTGCGCTTGCCAGGGAAGTGCTTATTCCACTGAGCCATCTCCCCGGGCCCAGCTGGCACATATTTAGAGCACAAGTTGTTAATTCAGTTTATTTCCAAAGACTGAATATGTTATTTCACACTCACATTTGTGAGGAGGGGCAACTTATTCATTAATGTCGTTGGGCTATTTGGTGTGGCTTCTTACATAAAGTGTTCTAACTCTTTTTACTCCTGTTACGAATAGAGAAAACACTTCAGAAATAAATATCATCAACCCTGCTTACTAGCATTTTGAGCATGGACTAAGAAGTGTGTATTTTTCTGCATGAAGTGTCTGCTATCTGCCAGGCACCATGCCAGCCACAGAGAACACAAAGAGAAGGAAGAGTCAGCACTGCCCCTATCTGAAGAGTGAGACTGAAAAAAGTGTGTGTGTGTGTGTGTGTGTGTGTGAGTGTGTGTGCGTGTACAGTAAAACTTTAGACTGTACCTTGTTCTCTGAGTGTTCTACAAGACAAGCAAACATTGCTAATGAGTTTTAACTTGATAGATATTTTGAAATACAAGTAGTATGTGATACAGAATGGCACTTGATCACAAGTGAGCCAAAAGTTCCCTCCCCTCCCCTTGCTCCCTCACTCATCATGGGATTGTGGGTGATCATCTCTCATTAGCAGGAGGTTATAGAGGAGATATGGTTTGCAGATTAGGAGAAAAAGAGGACTCCCTCACTGCATGTGAGATTAGAGGGATGTGTATAATATGGAAAATGGTGCAAAATTTTAATAGAAAAGCACCATGCAAATAAGGCTATAGCCACGCAAGAAATGAATCTGTTTAATGATAGTGCAATTTCACATTTCCACCAAGCAAGTGTACATATTCCATTGGGCCAATAGATAGCAGCCATTCTGTTAGTAACAGTAAAAATCATCTTACACAATAACCCTTCTCTTTTTCTTCTCCCTCACATGAGTTATGAAGGCTTTCAGATGTAAGTGCAGGTTTTAAAATATTTTGTATTTTCTTTATTATTTTGCATTATATTGTACTGTAATCATTTTTACATGAATATTTTTGAGTTGTGGAACAGATCATCTGAGTCTTCATTATTCTGGGGAAATTCACTTTCATATACAAGTGCTTTCGATTACAAGCATGTTTCTAGAATGAATTATGCTCACACACCAAGGTTTTACTGTGTAGTTTTTTTTTTCATGAAGAAAATGAAAGGTGATTAAACAACCAAGGAATGGCAAAGAGCATTATTTTGGAAATAATTTTTTTAGAATCAAAGAATATTGCTATCTTCATAGTTATATTTTACCATTGTTTTCATAATGTTAAAATTTTTCTAAGTTACATTAATGAGAACACTTTATATTTTCCCAGGAATGAGTATGTCACAAGAAGAATAATGGCCTCCCGCCGTTTTTGGATCCTTGTCACTGCAGTCTGTGAGTATGTTACATATGGCAACATGGGCTTTTATGGACTGACTCAGGGTTATGCCGTAGGCTAGGATATCACACAAGTCCTTATAAAGTAGATGAAGCAGGCAAGAGTCAGAAACACAGAATGAAAGAAGAGGCAGGAAAGACAGCATGTGACCCACCACTGCTACTGGTTTTTGAAGATAGTGATGGCCACTAGTAAGGGATTGAGTGGCTTCCAGGGACTAGGAATGATTCTCCCCATTCCATGGCCCACAAACTGACAAAAAAGATATCTGACCTCAGTCCTACAACTACAAGGAACATAATTCTACCAACAACCTGACCATACCTGCTCTGGCTCCCCCTCAAGAGCCCAGCTCTGCTCATGTTTTGATTTTTGGCCTTGAAGCAGAGAAACAAGCTAACCCCATCAAATTTCTGAACTACCCAACTGTCAGATAATACAATCATGTAATTTAAGCTGCAGACTTTGGAGTATTAGATACTGTGGGCCCAGAAGACTAATAAAGAACATAAGAGTAAATAAATGATGTAACTTCATTTGGAATTTTTTCCCTGGTACTGATAATTGAACCCAGGGCCTATTCACTGAGCTATATATCCCAGTTCTTATTTATTTATTTATTTATTTATTTATTTATGGAGACAGATTCAGGTAAGTTGTTTAGGCTGGTCTTGAACTTAAGACCCTCCTTTCTGTGTATCATAGAGTTATAGGACTAAAATATTTCACCATATCTGGGAATGACAGTATTGCATAGATAGTTCCTTTCCTGCTTAATAAGACAGCTTCCTTCTCCAGTTCTACCTTACCTAGCCCAGAGTTTCTCAAATTGTATATTGTACCAAACACCTGGGGATACTAGAAAAATGGAGATTCTGTTTTAGTGCAGCTGGGTGAGCCCTGAGAGTCTACATTTCTAGCAAGTTTGTGCCTGAAATGGGCTACATAAACACTCAGAGTAGCAAGCATAGGTCCATGCTCCAATAGAGGCAGAACAGATAAGGTCTTGCACCATGTCACTTCTGCCACTCTCTACCCACTTCATCACACTATCACCAAACTTTTTGGGGGATGGTGTACCAGGGATCAAACTCAGGACCTTGTACTTGCCTGGCAGGCACTTATGCCACTGAGCTATCTCCCCAGCTGTCACCATGCTTTTCAGGACAGAGTCACCTGTCTTGGTGCAGACTTATTCCCACAGCCTGAAGGATCTAATATTTAACAGTTGCTCAATAAACATCTGCCAAGTAGATAAGTAAATGAATATTTATTCAGGGCTTCTAGTAGAAGCCCTGAGTGGTAGAATTAGTAGAAAGGGAAAACAAGGTGCCAAAGGATGCAATCATAAGACAAAAAAGCAAAAACTGGGGGAATGGGTCGGATGCCAGTAATTCAAGTCTCTTTAGCAACTGAGGTTAAGAGATTTAGGTGACCAGGTATCTGATTTCAGTCAGAGAAGCCAGAAACAAATTCAACTTGCTCACCAAGTCCTACCTCAATGAGACTATAAAAAGCTGACTTTCTATCCTTCTCACTACACACATGCACATACATATTTATGTATACATACATATGCATACACATGCATACAAAAACATCAGTTTCCTTTTCTCCATATTCCAGTAATACCTAGCTTATGCATTAGTCCTACACTCAGGATAAAACCAGGATCACTTCAGAGCCATGCTTTAGCCACTTGTCAATGAATGCTCTCCTGGAAACTTGGGCTTCCAGAAGAGGAAGTGAATGATGTGTCTGCATTTCCGGCCAACAGAAATCTCAGCTGTGTCTGGTTTGGCATGAGAAGTCCCCCTTGAATAGGAGAAGAGGCCAACCCCCCACCACACACCAGTTTGTTTCCAGCTGGGCTTGTTTTTGTTTTGATTGCAAAGTCACTAAAACCTCCAGAGAAACAAAGCAACTGCCCTTTTAGTCTTGTTTTGTTCTAATGAGTCAAACTTGCCAAGGACACAAAGCTGAAGTCTGCCCACAATATTCTTATGCTTCCCTTACACAGAGGCAAAAGTTCCAGCCAACCATTTCTTTTCTTTTCCCCCCATGAACGAGTGACTGTAGCTCTAGCCATTTCAGTTTATAACCTTGTGCTTCTAGAATCAGTACAAGGAAACTGCCCTTGTGCTAAGAAATGCTCTGCAATCAAATATCATTGTCCTTGTTTGTCATTTTTAGGAAGATCATTTAGAAATTGAAATCAGGAGAATAGCCTTTTCTACTGAAGACAAACATCTGGACTTCACCTACCTCTTTTTTTAATTTGGTGACAAAACAAAGCATGTAACCTGGATATATTTCAGGAGAAACTACAAAAACCCAGGGTTTCACCCAAAATTGAGAAGGCCATTTATTCCTGTTTTCCTGTTTCTCATGATCACTGAGCACGCTCAGCCTTGCCATGAGTGGCTCACTGGAATAAGAAGATCAGGCCAGGAAGAACTGGAAAAACAAGGCCCTTCTGCACAAGAGCATGAGTCATTTCTGAGAGTGTCTTGGAGAAGCAGGACTGAAGTTTGCCTGCTTTTCCCACCCTAACACAAATAGTAACAGCTTTCCAAAGGTTAGCAGATTGATTCTGAGGGCCAATATTTGGGACTGTATGAGGTTTAGGAAACAGTCAGAAGAAGCTATGACATAGCTCCAGGCTAGCAAATGGGGCACTATCGGGAATGTAGGAAAAGTTCCTGCCAGCCCACTTACACTGTCAAATGCAAAGTGCTCCCAGGCTTTAGAGGATCATCCAGGAGTCAACAGGCACACTGAGCTACTTGAAAAGGCCTTTCAGGTTGTTTTACCCCACTTGCAAATAGAGACTACTTTAGATGTCACCCAAAGTACTAAATGCCAGGACCCTTGGCATTTAAGATCTGTGGTTTCTCAAGTATTTCCCATGAAAAAGTGATAGCAAGTAGACTACTTAGTCTAATTCAATATTGGTGTTTCTAGTGTCTAGATCTTATGAACTGTACAGTAAGGTCTGTGGCATGAAACCAACCAAGCCATTTCACTTACTTCCTTCTATGGGTGCCTGAGTGCAGAGGTAGGAGCAACAGGGAACAGTAGAAAGATTGGAAATCTCCCCAAATCCTGGTTATCCAGCTGCCCCTAGCCTGTTTCACTTACAAAATAAATCATTTTCTGATTCTCTTGACCTTAGATGACTCTCTTTAACCCTCACCCTTCAGCTCTAATCTGTAAAACACATAACAGTACTTATCCCAAAAGGGTACTTCCAAAATGACAACAGGAATCTAGGCAAAGTACCTGCTATATAGTGAATGCACACTAAATGTGAGCTATTTTTAGTCCTACCTTCCTTGGGAAGAAGCATTTCTTGAGACTTACCCCTTGTAAGACTTGAAAGCTGTCATTGTTAGGCGGTGGGTCTTGATCTGGGTCAACACCAACTCTAAAAGTCACCAGGGAGGAAGACAAGGAAAAGAACAGCAAGCATTAGTTTGGCCCATGGTAATAATGTGGGCTGAAGTCAGCAACCATCTTCCCAAAGCAGAAGGAGTAGTTAGCTACAGAAAGAAAGGCTGTCATGCAGAGGTTATATCATATACCGTATCAGATACCAGAGAGTGGGGACAATAAATGTTGTGTGCATATGTCCTGAGCAAGGCCTCTGGAAACAGCATAGCCTCTGTACATAGCACATGCTGCTGACTGTCTAGCTACTTTACTGTGCCAGGTGGTTCCCCTTACCAAAATGTGGTCAAGCCAAACTCCTCTGAGGTTCCTAACATGTTGTTATGAAATTCTTCAATTACAAAGGAAAATGTCAAAAGACTTTATAGTGAAGACCTGTATGCTCACCACCACAAGATCCTGCCATGAAAATCTTCCTGCAGTTTCTTTATGACCTAACCATTTCTCTCTCCATACTCAAGCTTACTTTCCTGCATGCACTCAAAGCAGCAAACATCAATACACTTCCCCAACTACTTCCATATGGATAGTGACAGTCTCTCCCTGTCACAACCTGAACCAGGCACCTTTAAATCCTCTTTCCAACTAGGCTCTAACTTTTGGGCTTCTAGGTCTTACTTTGTATTACCAAAGAATCCTGCTAAAGCAGTTTAGTGAGTACCTTGCCCTTATCTGATCTCCCTCATTCCCCACTATCCCCCAGGTGATATCTGATCACCCTCCCCTTCCTTCCAACAAGAATTCTGGTAGGTCACTTTGCATAGAATTCCCCTTACCATGATATTTCCTCTTTGTAACTTTCCATCCACTGATCCCTATCTTTCCCTTTGCATTGCAAAACTCCATCATGGTAGTCCCTGTACCAGCCGTAATGATCCTGAAAATAAATTCTACCTTGTCCTTTTATTTTTATTTTTATTTTTATTTTTATTTTTATTTTTTTTGTGGAACTAGGGATTGAACTCAGGCCCTTGCACTTGCCAGGGAAGCACTTATTCCACTGAGCCATCTCCCCGTCCCCCATACCTTGTCCTTTTAACAAGTGGCCGAGTACTGTTTATTTTAGCAGTACCATTAACTGGAGTCTTGATTTGCTTCAATTCTGATACCCTCACCCTTTCCCACATCAAAGATGACCCCAAAACTCACACATTTGAGAGCAACAACTGAAGATGGAAAGAAAAGGCAAAGTGACAAAATTAACTTGTTAACAAAATCCAGAGAAGCATTGGGGCTGCTGTCTTGGTTTAGTCACATAACAATTGTTTCTCAGTGCATGTGTTAATTTTCTATCCTTGCACCTTTCTCATTCTGAGGTAAAGAACTGCAACATGGACAAAATAGATAACATGCAGCAACAGGGTGGGGAGGGAGATGAAGACACCAGGAAAATCCTTTATCTCCCTGCACTTGCTCCAGTAGATTAGATGGAAACTGAGCTTGAAGAGAGGTGCCAACTTGGCTTTGCAAGGGTGTCTTTGTTGTCTGTTATCAGGGACTAACTCTACCAAAGAGATGACAAAGGAAAAAGCCCCAAATCCTTGTCCTTACTCTTTTCCTCTACCTCGTCTCTCCTATGATACCCAGGATCTTTCCTAAGAAAGAAACTATAGGGAAATGGGGGTGGGTAGGAGATAGCACAGATGTACCCAACCTCTCAATGCCAGCCTCTAACCCTTCCTATTCCAGGCCTACAGAGCACTTATTCAAGATGTGTGCCCCTGAGAAATGCCTCATATCTTTAAAACTACCATGTGGAATTTACAGTGAACTCTTGCTTAAAGCCTGGAGTGGGCCCAGCCCTAGATTTCCTCCCCAGAGGCCTGGGGTTAGATGGAAACTTTGGATTGAATTAAATGGACTTTATATACGCCAGAGACTACTTTCAGGCAGTGATTTCTGAGGGATGGGAACTTTTCCTTGCCCTGACATTAGGGATGTTTGAACAAAAAATCTCACACAGATCTCTGACATGAAAATCATCAAGTTGAGGAGCCCAAGGGTTGTCCGTGAAAGTCAGGCCAGAGCCCCAGTACATGTAAGATGTATAACAAAAGGGGTTATAGAAGAGATTGCATTGTGTTCATAGCTGTTGGTCTTTAATGCTCACCTGTTTTTAGAGACCCTTAATGTACATTCCATGGAAAACAATAATCTTTCTGGTTTCTGTGTCTGAATGTATAATATTAACAGCTAAGAATCCAATATAAGGCCTCATTTGGTGGATTATATAGCAATACAAATCCACTTCACATTATACTAATTTACTTAAGATGAGTTCCCAGCCACACAGACTCACAGAGGCAGAGTGCTGGTGACTACAGAGTCTCTTAGCCTACCAGTTAGCCAGGTGACACAGCTGCCCTCAACCTAACCACAGAGAGGCTGCTGACTGGGAGAGTAATGTACAGGATGGCCACAGATGTGGCAGTCCAGATCTTATCAGTCCAAATGAAATAGGAGGCCTACAGACAAGGAAAAAAGATGTGAGTTTGTCCTCTACTATAATGAAGAAAATAAACTTAAATGCTACTACATTTGGCCTCTAGTAAAATCTGACCCCCTCTATCTTTTAATCTCTATTAGGAAAAGAAGCTTATAAAGATGAAGTTTGGACCATTTTTACTCAGTCTTGAAGATGTCAGTAGAACTCATCTATTCATTTTAACCAGTCTAGAATTCCAAACAATCCCCCACAATTTTGCAATAATTTGGGAAAATCATGAAATTATGACCTCTCTAATCTCATCCCAAACTTATAAAGGTTTCCATTTTGTTCTGGGAAAAAAACAGAGCAGTTTTAGATTAGTGCTGCCAAGTAGAACTTCAGACAAGGACAGCAGAGTTGTACACCTACACTGTCCAATACAGTAACTACTAATGTGTGGCCATTGAGGGTTTGCAATGCATCTAGTAAGACCAAAGAACTGAATTTTATATCTTAATTTTAATTAGTTAAAATTGAAATAGCCACATGTGGCCAGTGGTTCCTGAACTAGACAGGAAAGATTTCAGAAAGTGCTAATTCCAGCCATGTCTCTCTACTCCCACATTTTTCCTTATTAAAAAAGCAACAACTACCTGCTCTCTGCTTTCTCGATGATAACATCCAAATTCCTGCTGTAATCCTAAAGAGATACAACTACAAATCTCATAAATATTAAATTAAAATTTTGCTTGAATTGACTACTTAGTGAAGAGATTCCTTACTTCATCAGCATATAAAACAAATTTTAAAATCCTCTATATTTCTTGAGAGAGAACATCATCTTATAAAAGTGAAAGTAATTAGAAAATTGGAAAACTGCCATTTTCTGCCTCCTGGGTAGTCACTGTTTCAAGCAAGGATCATTAGTGAATGATTTTATCGCCTGAATTAAAGGTTGTTGGGAATTTGGCCATTCTAATAATGTCACTCTACAGAATATGTTTTAGTTACAAAGACAAAATGGTACCCTGGCCATACAGAGACTTAAGGTCATTAACTTAACTAAGTGATCAAATGTGACATCATAAATAAAGGGGCAGTCTAATAACATGCTCCACATCACAGGAAGCAACAACAAATGTGTATGTCATACCACTTCTATAGGATTTTTGACAAAAATTATTATCCATCTTTAACCATGAGGAAAACATCAGAAAAATTCAGACTATGGGATATTCTAAAGAGAAGAATTTTGTTGTTGTTGTTTGGTTTGGTTTTTTTTGCGAAAACACTGAGCCATCTCCCTGGCAAACTTTTTTTTTTGGGGGGGGCGGTACTGGGGATTGAACTCATGACCTTGAACTTGCCAGGCAAGCGCTTATTGCCAGGAAATAGCACTACTGAGCTATTTCCCCAGCCCGACTATGGGATATTCTGTGAATAAATAACCTTAAAAACTCTCATAAGTGGGCCAATAAGATTGCTCAGCAGACTAAGTGCCTGCTTAGGCAAACGCAGGGACCAAGGTTTGATCCCTAGCACCACACACCATGCCAGCCCTCCCCCTAGGTGCACTGAGCCAGTCACTGAGACCAGGCATGGTGGTGCATGCCTGCAATCCCAGTGCTGGGGAGGCTGAAAATAGGAGCATCACTATGAGTCTGAGCTACATAGTGAGACCCTGTACCAAATACATACAAATAAAAAAACTGTCATAAGTGAATCAAGATGGGGGGTTGTTATTGTTCTGGATTAAGTGATACTAAACAGATGTGACAACCAAATTATAATTGAGTCACGGACGTGTGTGTGTGTGTGTGTGTGTGTGTGTGTGTCTTTAAAAATCAGGTTACTTTTCTCAGGTGTATGGTCATGTAGGAGACTGGATTACTAGAAAATACACACAAAAATAGTTATGGGTAGAAAGTCTACAAAATGCAAGCATTGTGAAACAGTTGGGAGTGAGAAAAAGAGAAGGCAAAAACCAAATGACAAAATATTAACAAGTGATGAATCCAGGTTACTACCTGTGTATTCACTGTTCTATTCTTATCTGCTCCCCTGTTTACAGATTTAATGTTCTTCACAGTTTAAATGAAGAATACTTAACCATATTCTTGGCAAAAATGTTTCAAAAACATGACTGTCTACTTTTCTATCTCTCTATTTTAATCTACTAATATTGATGATTTATGAGCTTATATTATCCTGGGTCTTTAACACAAATTGTAAAGATTCATGAACATAAGGTGCTATAGGTAAATGAATATAGGTTCTAGTAATTATCCGGTTTTCTTTTCCAGTTAAGTGAATTCTGGAATATTTGTGGAGATTCTCCTAAAAGTGAAGGGCAAGGAGAAAAATGCAAGTTAACTGAGATATGGTTAAGCCAATTCCAACCAATGCAGCCATTTTCAGATCTGGTTGTATGCATCCCCTGGAAACCTGTAGTTCTAAGGACAGTCTTACCCAATGCTCTATTTTCTTGCTTTTATCATCATTCTGCCATGGAAATTCCAATCTTCACAGTGGCCACTTGCTATCAGTCA